ACAGTTTGGGTTTAATTTCATCTAAGATCCACTATTCAACAGAGATGAAATGTGGTACTGTTGGGCAACGTGTTATCCTTCTGCTTTTATTTGGTGTGTGTGCGTGCTCATGTGTGGGCTTGGCATGGAGCGTGTCATGACCTTACCTGAAATACAGGAAAGACCTTGCTGCACTAGACATGTACCATGCTGTCTGTGAAGACAATAACGGCGAGGTAAGGGGCTGACGCTTCCCTTCCAACCGAAAATATTGATTGGTTTCTACAGCTTTTCTTTCAGCGTGTTGAATGACTGAACCACTGGCCTTTTAGAAACAGCTGCTTGAGAGAGATTCTGTCAAAAGGTACTAAGAAGCCATTAATGGTTGCGGTCATAGAAAGAAAAATATGATAGTCGTGTTTTTCTGCAGACTCTCAAGCGGCCTCGAGAGGTGCGCGGTTGCTTTGGCTGACCTGCGTAATGTGGGACCCGTGACTACCAGCTTTGGAGGAAATAACTTTTAATCGTTCTGGGTGTCCCAGTTAGTAACACCAAGTACTGTGAAAATAAGCTGATATATTTGCTACTGTAAGAATAAGAGTTTATCTGGAGTTTTTTATACTATATCGTGTATTTTTATATATGAAAAGTATATATAAAATATACACATGCTCGCACACATCATGTCTCTTGGAGTTGCCGTGTTTTTAGTAACACAGCAGCCACAGTCACTTCGTGTGACTTGAGGGAGAGAATATGGGTGAAAGCTGCAAACGGAAAAAAAGTGCGAAGGGAGGCTGCTGCGTTACTTTTCTATAGTGCTTATTTTGAAAGGAAAATCAAGGAAACTGTCTGTATAGCTAAATTTGTGACTAAAACATCACCTAATATTAAAGAGCATAAAAGCTTTTAAAATTGCTGGCATTCAGCTTTTAAGTGCACTTTCCTGAACTACACTTTCATTTCTTATTAGATTTCAAGTTTCTAAAGCTTTTTTGTGTACCACTAAACAGAGAACTTTTAACTTTTTTGTGAAACTGATGTACGTCATAAAATACTTGCAGTTGTTAAATAAACAAATGTGATAACAGTGACTTTGCAGATCTCCTTAAACATTGCGTTATTAAGTATTTGCATTTAGGCTTGAATTTACTTGCTGTAAGCAATGCTGCTTCTGCTGATTGCTTTTGTGGCTATAGGCTCTTGTCAGTCGTCCTAAAATATTTTGAAATACTTGTATTTGCCCGATTGTCTGTCTTTGTCCAAGTTGTTAAAAACCTGTTGATCGTGTAGTATTTTTAATTCCTTCGGTTCAGTATTATCTCCTTAAAGCCTTCCTGCAGAATTTTTTGAAAGGATGCGTTCCAATTCCTAGGCGGAAGCTTGGTCCCTTTTCTATAGCCAAATGTTAAGTTCAGTTTCCAGTGCTACCTCTGTGGAGTTAATTCTGGACATAATCTCCTAGACATTATTTTAATGTGATTTGACCCCCCTCTAGCGATTGTTTTACCAGAGCAGTTTTTTTGAATGCTGCTTGTACTCATTTTACTCTTAGGTAAACTGAAGTAAGAATGAAAACGGTCAAGAAAAGATGGAGTGGCAGCGGGACTCAGTTACTAAATATTAGCTCATGTCCTGGCTGTTCTGTCATCTGCCTATTGCCTGTTTTAGCCTAATTTTGTAAGAAGCAAATCCACAAAGAAATACAATTTACCTGGAGCCTTCAGCTTAACGAAAATGAACAACCGTGGCTGTTACAGTCTTGTTTTAAACAGTTCGTTTTTCATGGATAATGAGCTGTCCATAGTTTAAAGGCTTGGCAGAGTGCAAGTGGAAGAGGACTCGGGGCAATCCTGAGGGTTACTGGTAATAAGCGTTTGGCGAGCGCTGGCCCTGTGCTGCAGGAGAGGATAATGGGTGCTGGTAATGGAGGGCGCAGCATCATCGCAGCTGCCTGGCGTGGCTGCTGGCGTAGGCAGGACACGCACGTGGTCAGAGTTTTTCTGCCTGTGCCACTTCTGGTAGAGGGTTGGTTTGTTTTCAGCCCCTGCAGTTACAAAAGCAGTTAAAAAATGTTTTGGCTGTGGCTTTTTGTTTTCTTTTTGCAGTGTAACTGCTAGTGCTTGATTTCTCATCGCTGGCTTTTGCATGCAGTTGAAGTACTTCTGTGTTATGGCAAAAGCACGTTTACAAAGCTGAGGCGGGTAAGAGTACTGCTGTTTCACCTGAAGCAGAGTCAGGATGAACCTTTCCTTCTTTTCCTTAGGACACAGAACAGAAATGGCCTGAGCTCTTAAGATACGAGCAAGGCCCTGCTTGGAAACTGTGTAGATCTAAAGGTGGTAGGTTGTAAAGCTGAGTTCATCAGCGGATTCATCTAGAGATGTTTCTCTAAAAACGCATATAGAACATTAAGTACTGCTAGTAGGATATACTATACACAGTACTGGAATAGTGCAGGTCAAACACCTGCCCTGCCCCTCCATCCTGCGCCTTGATAGATCATGAGACAGTCTCCCTCTAGATTTAAAACCCAGGGGAGGTGACAGAAGTTGTGTAGTCAAGCAATTCACATCTATCATTTCACTATGCGAGATGCAAGAATGATGTTACTCCAAGTAAACATCCAATGAACTGAAATTTATTTACATGTTCAGTATGTACATAAAAGACCATCATGCAGCTTGATAAATTTTTGTCAGGGTAATAAAAATGTACAGCTTTGCAGTCTCTTTCCTTATCCAGTGAAAACTGCTATAGTAGTTAAGAGTTTACATTAAAAAAAATACATTAGCAAACTATAAAGTCAGTATGCTTTCAATACACAAACACACATGTTGTTCACATTACACTGGAAACAGGCTTTTAGACTTGCAGGTTCCTTGTCAGGCTCCAGTAGTAGTAATTAGTGCACTTGAAACTTGCTTGGCTGTCAAGTTTTTTTTAAAAAAAAATCAAATCAGTGTTTACACTGAAAGGCTCAAAGGTCTGGGAGTTGAATCTTAATGCAAAGTCAGTTCTTGCCACTACTTGTTTCTGTAGCTGAAAAAAAGAAAAAACAAAACCACCCATTGAACTTAATGGACAGTTAGCACTACTCTCCAGCACACCAGCAGAGAAGTTAGTATCCTGCATTCTCCATCCCTGATGAGTGTTCAGGTGCCTGACACGACGTTTCCATCACTATTCCCCATCTCCTTGGCACACCCCTGATGAGGAAGGTTGAGGGAGCTGGGCTTGTTTAGCCCGAGGAGGAGGCAGCTTTGGGAGGACCTGACAGCAGCCTGCCTGCCCCAAGAAGGGCACTGCAACAAGCCAGCGTCTCCTCTGGCTCCGAGTAAGCTGAATCCCACCAAGGGAGAAGCCTCCCAGAGAGGAAAGAGGCAATAGCACAGAATTGATAAGGCTGACCGTTCATTAAGAGCTTCTCTGGGTGTCACGCAGCTTTTAGCGTGGTTGCCTAAGGCTTTCCTAGCCCGGTGTCGGGCAGCGGTGTCTCTTCCTTGGCCTCAGGTGTAAGACAACTTGTTTGAAATTTTCCAAGGCCCTCCATGTATGAAGCTGGCTGTTGTCAGACGATCACAAAATATGAGAGAAGATGGTGGGACACTATTAAAGGCCACACTGCAGGTAACGAAGGGAGCTGTAGCGAGGTCAGTTAGGACAGTTTGTAATCTCAGAACAGAACATTTCTGCCTGTCATCAAAGCAGAAATAGGGTATCTTCCGCTTTCTAATGCTAGCCATGCTGATGCAATCGTGTCCTTCAACAGCTCTGGTCCCAACCTTTAACCGCTTGGGATTAAGTCGTAACGGCATATTGAGGCAAGCGGAGGAATCTCCAAGTGGCTAATGCTGATGAACACTTGATTGTGCAAAGCAGCAGCATTTGCTACCACTGCCCAAATAAACTGTAAACGCAAGCACAGCTGCTGTACAGAAGTCACTTACAAACGTTGATTCTAACCCCAAAATCCAAAGAATTCCAATCGTGTTTGAAAAAGTGGCACCCACTCAGGTTAATCATGCTGAGCTATGGCGATCTAATAACCTGCCTATTTCATGCCTCCCTAGCGTTGAGTTTGTAAGAGATGGTTTCATGACAGATTCTAAAACCCAGGGCAACCTTTTTACTGCAGCAAGCTTATGGCAATATGTCATTTTCTGTAACAAAGTCTGCAAGTACAGTATAATACAGCACACATTAAAAGGCCAAAGTTCAGGGATTTGAATCCCCAGCAGGTTCCCTACTCAGGGTGTGTTATTTCATCCTGTTAAACAAATTAACTTAAAATTCTTGGCAACTCTACTGATTGCAAGATAGTAACAAATATGAATGCCCAGGCTTAGCACTACTCCTGAAAGATTTTAGAATACCAATTCAAATTTACCGAAGGGATCTAAAGAAATTCCTTGAAGTAATGGCACTACCCATCTTGGGGGAGGCAATTTTTAAGATCTGAAATGAACACGTAGCCATAGTGGATGACCTGTGATCTTATCTTCCAGAAAAAGGAAAACAGCTTTTCCAAAAAAGTACAAGAGTCCACTGAATTCAATTTCGTATGTTACCGTACTGATGCTGAAGCGTAAGCACATCATTCAGACAAAGGCTCTGAAGGATGCCACACACTGTGCCGCTGTGATTTAGATCCAAGACCAGGTCCCACAGTTACCATGGTTTTACAAGCATGCTGTCAGGAGCAGTTTCTTAATTACGCACTTGAGCAAAACCTGAAAACCTGGCATACGGGCCTGTTAGCTCAGCAAGGGTACTTACTTCTGTTGTTCATGTTTACCAAGGAAAAAAAAAAATACTGCTGTGATCTGAATGCCAAGTTTTACAGCCCACCTTTCCATTGTCCCGCTCCGGGAAGACCTGTTTTGTACTTGATTGGAAAACAATCAAGAATAGGAAACGTATGTCAGATCCTGGGCAGTGCTGCTGTTTTTTTCAAAACTTCTAATAATATACTGTCCCAGCAAGCGGATAACAATCCAGAAGTCAGAAAAGGAACTGCCTCAGTGCTCAACTTCACAGCTCAGCTCATTAGGTAAGGTCCAGACCCTCAAAGTTAGAAATTTCATCGCAGTGCCTCTGAAATACAGTCAGGAAAGAAGTTTAGTCACTTACTATGCATATGAAAGTATCAACTCTTACCTGACTTCCAAAAAATCCAGATCAATGTTTGGTAGGCTGAAAATCTGACAAAAGCCTGAGGAAAAGGCTACTTAGGAACAAATACTAATGACAGCTTGAGGCTATTAAAATTGTGAAACAGAACTGAAAGGGATCTGGCAGACCTCTGTCCAGCCTGCTCTAAAGCTCTGCTCGAGGGCATTGCAGCCTCGTGGAGCCTCACGCAATCCAGCAGTATAGATGAGCAGAGCACCTGGCATCAAGATCATTATTTTCTTATTTACAGGCAAGTATTACACCACTCAGCATTTTCTTTGGGGAAGATAATTAGGGAGGTTGACTGAAACTTGTAACAATTTAAAACCAGGATTATTTCACCCTATACTTGTTAGAATACCCTATTCCCACGAGTATGAACACTGCTATACCTTCACTCACAAGCCTGCGTTATACTCAGGACAGGGCTTGCTGTGTCGATATTGCATGACGTACACTGTGGACTGATGCCACCAATACAGCATCACCACTGCAAGGATATGCCATACTTGGTGACTCGAGCCGAGGTAGTTCAACTGTCCTGTGGGGAAGAAAAAGGACAAATAGTTAAGGTGTTAAAGTTGTAGTTACTTGTGCAATGCAATTAGCAGTCAGTCTTCTCCAAAGCTCAACTATACACTTGACTCACTAGGAGGCAGAGAAAGTTCTTTAACGAACTTGATCAGAAGTTGTCTGCCTTCTTCTGATGCAAATACATGCAACGTTTTACTCTGTATGAGACTACTTCACGGGGAATATGGTCAACCTGTTCTCTCACAGGAACTTCGGGACTCACAGCAAGGACTGTGACACTGCAGGAAGCTTAACTGCAGAAAAAACATCCAGAAGAGAATTGCCTACCTGGGAAGTATCTTTCTGGAACTTTGGAAATATAGAAGAGAAAAGCTACAGCAGCGATGAAGTACATGACAACTACACGCGGAGCAAACTCCTGCAAAAGAAAAGTAAGCTCTCCTATTCTGTTAGAAGGTAAAAACAGAAAAGGCATGACAAAACTAAATCGTATTACACTGCCTATGTTATCTATGGACAAAATCCAACAGGGAAGCAAATGCCAAAGCTTGGGAAAATCTGAATGGGAAAAATCTTACTTGTTTTATCACGACCGCTCTGCTTCAATACGCAAGCTACTTAGTGTTTCTGTGCAGGCTGCAGCAGACACGAAATTTGTCAGTAAAAAGACATCTTCCAATACACTGATCTTATGCAGAATGGCCAGGATAAGTGAGACTTCAGTGCAAAATCTCATTTACCAGTTGAGATTGCAGCCATTAGAACCCAAGGCGACAGGATTACTACATACTGGATGGTAAATAACCAAGCAAACTGTTAACGAGTTGCTTTTTGTTTTCCTTACAGAAAGTTCTGTTACCCAAAGCAGAGCATTTTTCTGAAGTATGGAAGCAAAATGTGTCCCATACAGAGCATTCTGCTATACCAGGAGAAACTAAATGGGCGAAGGTGTGGGGGGACGCCTACCGTTTATCTGAATTTTAGAAGGCCAGTGTTAACTGCCCTGTCTAAAGACTTTTATATTCATAAAGTGCCCTAAGACATTTATATTTATAAATGTTGCGCTTTCACATTCAACAGCAGCTCTGGACTGGGCTAAACCATCACCCCAGGTGGCAGTCTTCCCACAGGGCCAGTCTAAGAACGTGCACAGTTACTGCTCACTATCAAATGTTTTCCTCAGCACAGTTAGGTCCCTGGGTAATTGCAATGATTTCTGGGGTTTTCAGATTGGGGCATATTTTAGTGTCTTTAGCTGTACTGTGCTGCTAGTTTTTCAGAGCATAATTCTAAGTGGTAAACCAAGAACAGGAAAATAGTTCAGTAACTTCACAGTGATGTTAAGTGAGGGTTGTGTAAGAGACAGAGGGCTGAGTAGGCAAATACTGATTTTTGCTGCCAACCCAGGGAACAGAAGAGGAAGCAGATAATCACCCCATCAGTGTCTTCCGGCTCCCCTCTCTCGTCTCGAGCTGTGGAGGCGGACAGCCCAGAGCACTCATGCACCCTGACAGACTGCCTCCCACTCTGCAGCCGACTCAGCTCTTCGCTCCTGTCCCTCGCCCTGGGGCAAGCGGGGTGCGGTCCACCTACACAGGCTGCTCTGTCCCTCAGGCAGATACACTCAGTCACACGTGTATCCAGTTTTCCTTCTCATGGTGCAGTTTCAAATCAGTAAAGCAGATGTAATCTACTCAACCCCATTTACTGCTTCTCAATAAATTTCTAACTGAGTGCATTTGGATTGTATCGTCTGAAAGAATTCTGTGCTTAAAGAAATTTTAATTCTCACTGCTTCCCCCTCATTTCCCAAAGTGGAAGAGGACTGAAGAAGATGGCAAGGGAAAAGCCAAAGGGAATCTTATTTGGTTTTTTTTCTCTTTTACCTGTACAATAGATGCACCAATGCCGCCGTTGAGCCAAACCCAGTGGATGGTGGGAATAATTCCATATCCAGACACTGAGCAAAAGATGACGGAGCGCAGTCTGTGCCACTGTTGCGTGAGGTAACTGGGATGAATCTGAGCAAAAAATACTGCCAAGATCATTGCCAGCACAGTGATTAAATATACCTGACGCCAGTACTGAGAAAAAAAAGAAACAAAAGCAAGTTGTGGGTTTTCTCATCACGTGTAAAAGTAAACTCTGGGTAGAAAGTTTACATTACCGAATGCAATGATATATCAAATCTCCAGTCACTGCTGTGAGCACAAAGGATGGGGTTTGAATGAATGGACTTGTATTTATTAACTGACAGTGAGGGGAAGGGACTCTACTGCTTGGGTACACCTGGTAGAATGTAATCTATTCCAAGCAGTACCTTTACCAAAACACTTTAAAGATACCTCTGCCTCAGCAGACTTGTTCAACTACCCGACTGCTGTATCCACTGCAGACATGGATGTAACCTAGGCCTTTGAAGGGAACTAATTTTCCTTGTCCTCTATTAGATGAAGAGAAAATAAGCTTGTTTCTGCCTCATGTAAGCTACTTAGTGGGAAATGATGTTTGAATTACTTGTAATGGGGACTCATCCCATAATCAGCCTCATGCATTTGACAAAGGTAGGACCTGTAAAGTTTACTCTGCCTTCATATAAATTTAAATATTTTTTGAGGCTTGTGTGATTGACAGCTTGAAAGGAAAACCTCAATTTGCCTATCACTTCAGCAAGCAAAGTTCTGTTGGTGTCAGAAGGAACTTGTTTCAATTTCCATCTCTGTCTCCCAACTAATGGTCTGCTTGGACAACCTGCAGTGAACCCCCTTTCCTACGGTGTGGAAACGACAACAACAGGACTGCAGGAACTAAACAATACGTGAACAAGTGCTTCAGACTTACGTTATTGCAATAAAATGCATAAAACACGCCTGACACATAGCAGCCCAGGATACCAATGGAAATTCCCGCATAATCTAATGCCATCCATCGTCGGCTGGTCTTCTCTGAGCGGTGACAACAGAAAAGATGATATCCTACTGAGCAGAGCATACAGACCTACACAAATGTTCAAACAAGGATGGATTAATTTCTTAAAAATTAACAGGGAGTAAAGCAAGCTTAAACTCTGGTGCTTAGAGGACGCGATCGACCTGTTACATATTTTGCAGTGCAACTTGGTGTAGGCAAGTAAGATTCCCGCCAGTAATCAACAGAAATTGACGTAAGTTTCTCTGGCAGATGGAAGAAGCAACAGAAAACTTTGCAAGACATGATAACCCCAAGTTGCACAGCTAAGAAAATTGGGCCACTGAGGCCTAGACTGTGAGGCCAAGCAAGGAGCCAGTACACAAGGAAGCAGGGCCGTGTCTGCATGAGTACAGTGGGATGATGAATTCTGCTTGGCCAAACTAGCACAAGCAGAAACCAAAGCCCAAATCTGCCCTGACTGCCCAGCAGCCACGTAGGTTTACTGAGGGAACGCACAAGAAATTTAACTCCTGCGCCTGGGCCACTTGTTTGCTTCTAGGTTGGCATCAAATTTTTTCCCTGAAAAATGTTCATTTCTCTGCAACCTTCCACAGGAGTAGGGAATAGCACAACAGTGGTGGTCTCCAAGCCAGCAAGGGAGTTTTCCCCACTTCTAGCAACGCAAAGGCATCCGGTACTCTTCAGGGAATACTAACAGCACTCTTCAGCTCTTCACATTCTTTTAGGGACAGCGTACTTTACAGGAGCTTCAGCGGTCAAACGATGACGCACTTGAAGTCTGCTGTTGAGAACAGATTTCATGTGACACTGAAGCTCTTGCTTACAGCAGGTAAAAAGTAAGAATAGATCAGCATCAGGCCGTGGCTGATTTTCATGTTCCACTGGGTGACCCCTTCCAGCAGCAACCGATGCTGTCTGGGAGCCAGATCAGACGCTACTGAGCCCCAATGCCTAGCTGGAGCTGTGAAATACGGCCCTGAACAATTTAGTTGTTTTTCACGGACTCTCTCCGAAGCTGGCTATGTTCAGTCCTCCCTGGTTTATCCCATGTATTGAACAGGTCAAAATCAACTCAACCACCAAGCTTGTCAGTTGCCTTTAAAAGCAATGCAATTTAAAACATGCTTGCCCAGGTCTGACCCTAGTGCACCTTGCTCTGCAGTCGTACTCGCACAACGCGGGTGGGCTCTCACGCTCTCCTTGTCAAAGCAAGCGCTCCCCTGCGCCAGCCTCCCGGCCCGCCCTGGGCACCCGCGGCCCGGTGGGCACCCAGCCCCCACCTGGAAGCAGAAGAGGCAGACGGAGCAGATGACGAAGTCCTCTCGGGAGGCGCCGGCGGCTGGC